TTTATTTTGAAGGTTTTGTTTTTGGCCATATATCATTTCTTCTACACATCTTTATGCTTTTCATCACAAACTACATTTCTCATTTCTCATCTCTGTCAATAAGATTGCTTCTACTCAGTTCCTCTGGCATATGTAGAGTCTCTTAAATAGGCTTATCATCATAACATTCCAATAGTCAGCTATTTTTTTCCATAACTACATTTTCATTTTATTCTAATTTTACTTCTAGCATTAACACTTTTCATTTCTATGCCGTACCTTTGTCTTTGTTGGCCATTTCCATCTTGTCTTATCTAATTTTTGAAATGTTACGTGAGGTTTTCACTCAGAGAGAAGGAAGCAGCACAATTACACTCTTTGTGTGTTAACTACATAGCAGAATGCACAGTAACTAATCACCACCAGACTTTGAAAGAAGTGACCTGATTAGCTACTGATCATGATACCCATCTGTTATGTATGTAGTGAACTGAAAATGTAGATGTAGAAACTTTACCTTTATAGTTACTCACAGTTAATTTAATGTGGCAAGTGTTGGATGACTGGTGTTACTCAACTGAACCGGGGTAACTGAATTTATGCATATTGGAACCGTGACAAACAAGGACATCAGCACTGGAAACCTGTTAGATACACTAGGCCACAAAAGCTGTTCCAGATCCAAAGCTTGCTTTTACTTTGCTTTATATCAATTAGCAAGTAAGGTAAAGGTATGAAATCAAAGATTCACGAGGAGGTAGGCAGACTCATTTCCGTAGAATTCCCATTGGTTCTCTGTGAGGCCTTTCTGAAGTTTGGTAGTCTTAGAAACCCCTGGGCTTACTGCATTTGTTCCTTTTGTTGGAGTTGAAAACCAGAGAGGCAAAGGTTTCACAAGTAGTTACAGCAGCATAATACTGGAACTTGGTTCTGATATTTCTTCCTTTTTTTTTAAAGTAGTACTGGGGTTTGAATTCAGGGCTTTGTGCTTTTAAAGCACATGTTCTACCGTTTGAGCTATGCCTCCAGCTCTTTATTTTTCTTCTCTTGCTTCATTTATTTTCTTACCCTCTTCAATCACATTTTGTTCTTTCTAAGTGATGAGCTATGGAAAATGTGGTCTTAAGAACTTTGTGTTGTTAGAGATGCTCTTACTCTAGTTGTGCTGCCTCAAAGGTCAAACCAGTAGGACTTTTCATTTCTGGTAGGGAAGGAACAGTCTTGTGCCTCTGTTGCCATTTGGACAAGGGAAACACTCACCCTTTCTCTCATCCAGAATATATACTTCAGTTAACACTTGCAAGCTGAAAAATCTTTTTTAGTTTCTGCTAAATTCTGGCAGAATATGCTTCTAGTATCAGTTGCAGCTCCCAAACTGCTCTACAGTGTTTCTCTGGCATAATGAAGCCTTTAGCCTTCATTGTTACTTTGAAAATCAAAGCCTTTTAGTCTCTAATGGAATGTTTATAAAAATACTGCATTTTGAAATTTGCTCAGGAAGAGGAAATATGGTAAATGATATTTAGAAATCCCTCTGGCTTGCCTTGGCATTGCTTCATTTAATGTTATGTACTGTGGAAATATCTGGAATTAGTATGAATAAGAGAGTATTAAAACCCAAAGATAAATAAGCTCTTATCTTCATTGTCTTATTCCATGGTAGTATAGATATATAGATACAGATATCCCTAGTTGTTGCTTTTTGTATTATTGTGCTAGGTGGAGTACCTTGTGACATTTACAAAAGTTCTTACAGTATATCAAGTATATCAACTTGAGTTCACCCCCCATCAGTCTCCTTTATCCTCCTCCTCCCATTCTTGTAATAATTTCAACAAGTATCATTTTTTATTTACATATATGTGTACACAGTATCTGTACCATATTTACCCTCCTACACCCTCCTAATTGTTATTTCTGTAGGACAAACTGTCTTTTGCCAAATTTAATGTAAGTATCTTGGGTAAGCTAAAAATCCCCTATGTCAAAATCTCACCTATTTCTAGTCTTACTGAGGTGAAAATGGAAGCTTTTGGATAGAGCCGTTTAGAATGCTAAGCCTATAATTAAAAAGCTATATGCATATATGTCAGTCTCTGTTGCTTTCCTTGGCATCAGTGAAAAAAAAAGTTAAATGTATGAAATATATTTACTTTAGTAAGATGATAACTGACATCATAATACCCACATGAAAAAGAGGCTCCAGGAACTTTAGCTTACTTACCCTGTTTTGTTGACTCTGTCTTAATATAAGGCACTGATATATCTTAAGGTAAGAGTGTGATACTTACTCAAGAAATACTTAGCAAGGGACTGCTGTGTACCTGAAATTATTCTAAGGATCTAGCACTGAATATCAGACAGTCAAACTGCTTGCTCTACTAGACCTTCTTCTCTGGTGAAGGAGTCAGAAAATCGGTAAATTGCATAGACTAATTAATTGAGCAGTTCCTATGGCTTTCACTATACATTTCTGTCACTTTGCCCACAGCACAAGTCTCTTATTAGCATGGTACAAAGATCTGATAATTCAGAGTATTATAAACTTGTGAAATGTTAAGATGGAACATTGGTGTCCTAGGGGCAGTGACCATCTGTGGCTTCTGCTTGCTTATTCCTCTCATATATGCTCAGTTGCTAGTCTTTGTTGTGCATTTTCATGGCCTTTGAGCTTTCTCTCTGAAGCAACACAAAAAAATATGTTCAAGGATATCATTGACTTCAACTCACAATCCTTTATTACTTCTTAAAATGCACAGTTAGGGGATGTGGCTCGGCAAGTGGGAGGCTCTAGGTTCAATTCCCCAATAGCACAAAATAGTAATAACCTAGGGACAAATAGTGTTCTTTAAATAACACTATTTTTGAAATTTCAAGCAAAAACCTGGAAAAAGTAGTTGCTAATATTTTGGGAAGTATTCCTTGTTTGTCACTAGTACTTCTATATATAGTCCCCTTGAGTTCCCAGTGACATCCATTGATAGCATCTGACCCACTGTCTAGTAGCATTATTTGATTTTAAGTCATTTGAATTTTTTTCATGTGGGGATGCCTTTTGTTATAAAATCTGCACTTAAAAAAAAGGACAAATTTTATCTTGGTAAGCAAATGTAAGGCTGTCATTTTTGCTGTTTGCATTAAATAAGCATACTGCACAGTTTTTCAATTTAAAAACATGTGGGCTAGTTGATTATGCCAGAGAAATTATAATTAAAAACTCACAGATGATTTTTGTGGAACACAGTCTTCTACCACTTTTTAAAAGTTCTTTCACAGAACTATAGCTCTGTCAATGCATTTATAGTCAAAACATTTTTTAAACTTTATTTTTTGCCAAAACATTTTAAACAAAGTAAAACTCCACTAACATGATAACCAAAAACTCAGTAGTAAACTTTGTCTTTAAGATGGGAAGGCTTGTTATTATAGTTGCTTTTGTTTTTTTGTACCTGTGGTTTTTACTTAGTGTTTAGAAGTTGGAGGGAGTGTGCTTTCTCTGGGAGTTCAGTTAATTGCAGTGAGCAGATCAATATTCAGCAATCATGTCTTTTAAAGCTCTTTCTAATCCTGAGATTTTATGATTCTATATTTACCTTTGCCTCTGATTTTTTTTTTCCCCTCAGTGACAAGAGAGCAAGGGAACCATGGTTCTGCACTGGGGATTAAATTAGACCAGGAGTTCAGGAGGCAGTGGGCATTAAGTGGATGATGTTAAAGGGAGTGCAATTCTATTTGCTCCTTTGCTTCTTTACAGTTAGTTTTTAATACTTCATACATTTTCTTAGCTGTAACTACTTTTATAATAAGAGGAAATAAAGAAAAAGATGAGCCCAAAATAAAAACAATTTTTAGAAATTACCTTCTCAAATACCTCCTATAAACAGACAGTCCCTGAATTCAATGATGAATCAATATAGAACACATCAAAAAGATGATTAAAGCTTTTGAAAAGAACTTTGGGGGTGAGAAGGTATTTTTCATGAAGTTAGAAGGTAAGGCTTACATTTCTTGTCTATAAGAGCAGCTCATAAAAGATAGAATTTTCCTTAGTATTCAGAATTTAACTTATACATTTGTGTTCCATGGCACTAGAACAGTCTTATTCATGTTTGTGTCCCTAGCCCCAAATATACTACCTAACTTGTATGAGGTGCTCAAAAATTTCTTTCTGAGCTGAATCTAGTACCCATTCTTGACAGAATAATGGAAAAAAGATAATACAAGGCAAAAAAGAGTGAGTTTTTATGTGTTTTTTCTAGTTACTCTCCAAAATGCTCCCTTTCAGAAAATGTAAAAATGTTTTTATGTGTAGTATGTTGAAAAGACAAGCACTGACACTGTATTTCAAAATTGAAAGAAGTGAGATTGATATCCTACACAATTGTAAAATGCCAAAAATAAGTAGAGCTGAAATGAATTAAGGCCTAATATTCAGAAAGGCCAAGAAAAAGCTTCATATCAAGGGTGGCTATAATTGAAAGGGTCCAAATAAGTATTTAAAACCACCCCTCCTGGAACTTCTGAGATTTCTGAATTTCAGGTTGGTGTTTTATGTTTGACAAGGTGACATTGTATAAGATATGTATTGTAAAACACTGCTGTACGATAGGAAAATGATTGAATGTAAATATTTGAAGATGTGGACCACTGTTCAAATGTTATCATAAATCTTTGCCATTGTTTTAGGGGATAACTTCATGCATATGTGAGCTGAGTTGATAGCTCATTCTTGGAAGGCAAATCATCAGTGAGTTTCTGCCTCTCTGCCCTATGACCTCTGGTCTGATTCTACCACCAAAATATCCTACTAGATCTTTGCTGTTATTATCATATGCTTATAACATAAGTAGGAAACCCTGTTTTGAAGATACTGCATCTGGCAGTACTTTTGTGCAATTCTGTAAGTGGTTTGAAATGTAAGTTATGTGAAATAAGACTGGAATGGAGAAATTTATACTCTTTAATTTTGGAAAAAAAAAAAGCTTAAGCTATAAGATTAACTATTCTTCCATTCGCTCTAGGTTTGGAAGGTTTACAGTTGCTGCTCTTCAGTCCAAAGTGGAACAGTATGAACGTGAAACCAATCGCCTCAAGAAAGCCCTGGAACGAAGTGACAAGTACATTGAGGAACTTGAATCTCAAGTAGCACGACTAAAAAATTCAAGTGAAGAGAAGGAAACTATGGATTCCATTTGCCAGAAAGCACTTTCTGTAGATGGCAAAGGAGTCAAAATCAGTGAGGATGATGTGGCATCAAAGAATCAAGGTGATAACACCAGGAAGCAGCCTGGCTCAGTCACCTCTAGTTCTTCTCACCTGGCAAAGCCTTCCAGTAGCAGACTGTCTGACACCAGTTCTGCCAGGCAGGAAAGTACCAGCAAAACAGAATCAAATTGTCTTAAGAACAAAGACCTGTATCAAAAACAAACCGAAATAATGTTAGATGTGACAGATACAAGTATGGATACTTACTTGGAAGGAGAGTGGAGTAATAAGCCAAGTGACTGTGTACCCTACAAAGGTGAAGAGCTTTATGATCTGCCAGCTCCTTGTACTCCTTTGTCTCTTAGTTGCCTTCAGCTAAATACTCCAGAAAATAGAGAGAGCTCTGTAATCAAAGCAGGAAGTTCCAAAAAGCACTCAAACCATCTCAGAAAATTGGTGTTTGATGATTTTTGTGATTCTCCAAGTGTTTGTAATAAAGATTCTTTAAGAGACGATATAAGTAGAAATGAAAATGAAAAAAAGTCAGAATGTTTTACTTCCCCAAAGACAGGATTTTGGGATTGTTGCTCCACAGGCTATGCCCAAAGCTTAGATTTTGAGAGTTCAGAGGTGAACAAGATAGCGAGTTCTGCTGGAGAAATGTCTTCAGAATTGAGTGAGAAACCCAGCTCATGTTTATCCAAGAGGTTGAATTGTATTCGCTCTCTCGAAATGAACCGAACTAGAACATCCAGTGAAGCATCGATGGATGCCGCCTACCTTGACAAAATCTCTGAGTTGGACTCAATGATGTCAGAGTCGGACAACAGCAAGAGTCCTTGTAATAATAATAGTTTTAAGGCTGTGGATTTGGATGGGTTATCAAAGTCATCTCAAGGCAGTGACTTTCTGGAAGAGCCTGACAAGATGGAAGAAACAACTAAACTGAATCTTTCGAAAGATGCTCTCACTACTGATCAGTTAGAAAATGGAAATGAATGGAAACCTACTTCTTTTTTCCTCCTCTCCCCATCTGACCAAGAAATGGATGAAGATTTTTCACTCCATCACACTTCTAGTTCAGGAACTAATGAAATCAAACTCCCAAGCTGTTTGTTTCAGACAGAGTTTTCCCAGGGTGTTTTGTTAAGCAGTCCACATCGACTATTTGAAGATCAAAGGTTTGGGTCATCTTTGTTTAAGATGTCCTCAGAGATGCACAGCCTTCATAACCACCTTCAGTCTCCTTGGTCTACTTTCTTTGTGCCTGAAAAGAGGAATAAAAATGTGAATCAATCAACAAAAAGAAAAATACAAAGCAGCCTTTCCAATGCCAGCCCATCAAAAGCAACTAAAAGTTGACTCATTAAGGAGGTATCCTTTGTGTTTTTGTCCTGAAAGGAGTATAAATGTTTTTATTGTTACTTTTTTCACTCCCTGAAAGTTAAAACTCGATAATCTGTCAAGTGTCAAGTCAGAATAGTGGGCTAACTTGTACCCATAGTACTCATTTCATGTTTGAGGGTCTTTTTGACTGGAGAAGGTAGGAAGAGGGTTTTTGTTTCATTTGAATTTTTTTTTAATGACTATTGTATGTAGTTGGCTTGGGTATATTTTGTTATCTTGAATCTTATTTAACTATTAGATACAGTGGCCTATTAATGAGGCTCGGTTGTCTTCAGAACTTGGATTTCTTGAATAAATCCTTTAGTATTGTCTACACTGTGCTCCTGAATTTCTTTAAAGCTTTTGCTAGGGTAGAAATTCTTTTGCCCCTTTTTATTTATTTTTAGTGATGGCCTATCTTTTATATAAGGCCATGATGGAGAAATAGCACTCTGACTGTAGTTCAATACTCACTTTCTTTTTCTTAAATTTTACAATAATGTATATATGTTCCCATTTTGTTTAACATTGTGCTTTGTCCAGTTTTTGTGAAAATGTTCTGCTACTATAAAACAGCACATTTTTATGTGACGATACTCATGTCAGGTTCATATCTGCTCATATTTTTTGTGGGTATGTAAAATCAGAAATTGAGCAGCTGCATGGAACAGTTGGGTTTGGAGGAGCTTAACCCCTTATAGCTTCATTTTTCCAGATGTACAGTCGGAAAGGCCAAGTTCTTAATACACTTATATCCCTGGAAAAGTTTTTGGTTTGGATTGTTTTTGTGTTGTTTTGTTTGTTTTAGTGATAAATTTCTTGTTTGCATGTTACCGTTCTTTGTGGAGACTGTATGCATGGTTGCATTTTTGCTTGCTGTATTTTCCATCCTTAAGTAAAAGAAGCTTCAATTGGCTAGTCGAATGTCTTTTATGTAGGACAGTTTTCTAAATGAAAAGTATTGAGGGGATGAGGAGAGGTAAGAGCTAAGCACAAGTTTTAATTTAGGTTCTAAAAAAGTATATTATTCTGTACATGTTGGATATCCTATATAGGTTTTTACCAATGGGTTTGTATGCTAATGACTTGTTTATCTAATGTGCATCAAACATTTTACATTAATACTGTATTGTTTTCATTAAAACTGCATGCTTTTCTATGTGAATTGAATAAAGGATGTCATAAGCACTGTATGTATGTCTTGATGTTGTCTCTGATATTGAATTAACCTGTAAAGACCAGGAAAAGTTATTTTTAATTGATTTTAGAATATAGCAATTCAACAATAGCCCAAGGACCAAAGCTGGTCACTGGTCTGCATCTGTTTTTGAAGGTCTGTTAACAACAACAACAAAAAAAGTCTTCTTAAATTGTTTTGTAAAATCCAAAGAATAATATCTTAAGACACAGGAAAAGTATGTGGAGTTTGGAGTCCATTGTTCCTAAGTAAAGTCCTGTTGGATCACAGCTGCATCCATTTGTTTACAGACTATCTGTGGCTGCTTTTGCACTGTAGGAGCAGCCTTCAACAGTTGCAACAGAGACTAACTGTGGCTCACAATACCAAAAGTATTTACTGTATGGCTTTTTACAGAAAAATTTGGTGACCCTTGTTTTAACAGTCTGAGGATTCAGTGACACTATAAAAGTATAACAAATCACTTTTATTATTTGGAGAATCATGCTATCCATTTTGGAGGGGTGGGCAGCACCAGGGTTTTGAACTCAGGGCTTTGAGCTTGCTATGTAGCCATGTCCCCAGCTCTTTTTCCTTTATTTTTTTGATAGGGTCTGGAGGTTTTGTTGAAGTAGGTCTTAGAACATGGTCCTCTACCTGTGTCTCCCATGTAGCTGGCATTACAGATGTGGATCACTGTGCCCAGCTTATTTGTTGAGATGGGATCTCCCTAGCTTTTTGCCCAAGTTGGCCTGGAACTCCAGTCCTAATCTCCACCTTCCAAGTAACTGGAATCAATCACAGGCATGCACTACCAACCCAGCCTTATACTCTCCAGTTCTGGAATAGTAATAGCCAGAAAAGGCTAATATAAAGAAGCATAATAATTTGTTTTACTATGTATATTTTTCAATAATTATTCACAATTTTGTCTTTCTGTCATAGTTGAGCTGGTGGATATTTTTAGAGCTCTTAGCCTTTTATATATCTTTGAGTCTATGGTTATAATTTAATTACTCCAGTGTAGAAGTTAAGTTTTTTCTGCAACAGGGTAAATTTAGGGATGCTGTTGTCTAAATCTGTCTCCTAAAAATTCATATGTTGAAACCTAGTCCCCAAGGTAATAGTATTAAGAGGTAGGACCTTTTAAAAGAGATTAGGTCATGAGGGCAAAGTCCTAATGGGGCTTAGTGGGATTAGTGCTCTTATAAACAAGGTGCAAGGAAGTTTCCTGGTTCCCTCTGCCATGTGGGCACCATGTTTAAAGCAGAGAAGAATCCTTGTCAAACACAAATCTGCTGCCTGATCCTGGACTTTCCACCCTCTAAAACTGAAAAACTAAATTTCTATTGTTTATAAATTAGGTCATTGGAAACATTTTTTTAAAACAGCCCCAAACAGACTATACAAGGAGTAAACCTCACCAATTCTATAACCAAGAATGTGTCCATTTTTAATCCAAATACACACTGACACTGCCGTGGAAACCAATTTACCAATGCCCAGCCTGGATCAGAGCACCTCTGTTGGACCAAACTATGTCCCAGCTCCTTGCTTTCAAAAGCATCCTTACATTCTCAAACAGTACTTCACTTATTAATCTAAACCTGTGCTCTCCCTCAGCTAAAGCAGGTAACTGTTCAGGACTTTATTTTAATCATGTTTTTCCTCTTAACCATAATCTGATGTCAGGACTTAGAAAATACATGATGTCTCAGATTTTCAAATACTATTGAAACCAAATATTTTCCTAACTTCAATCTCATCCCATTTTGGAACCCTGTAAGACTAGTAGTCTTCTTCCCAGTTTTTGAGAAAGTAAATTGAGGATTAGTGACCACACAGCTAGAATGGAACAGAACCACAGATCTGGAGTCTGTGACTCCAGGGCTTGTGATCTCCCAACTGTGAGTTCACATTTATCCATGAACTTTCAAGTATTTTAGGAGTTTTAGAAGTAGTACTTAATTTCTGCCTATATTGCCAGATCCGGCCTTACTAAACAAAAGCTCAAAGATGGGAGGTGTGTGTGTACATGCCATTTTTATGTTTAAAGATTCAAAATAGTTCTCAACCTCCCTTTCAGTCTATTGAAAGTGTATTCCTTTCTTAATATATTTTACTATGACTTTCACTACAGAAAAAAATTCACATTAACTGACATTTTTATTAGTTTAATCTTCCCCTCCCTATGGGTTCATTTCACTAAGGCTATGTTGAAAGAAAGGAAGGAAGGAAAGAAAGACTAGTCATAAGCACTTGATTCATGTTTTTTTTATTTAAAAATTTAATTCATGTGTTTTGATTGCTAGTCTTTCTAATATATGATTACATGGGCATAACAAAAAGTATGTATAAATTTTTGTGGTACTGGAATTTGAACTCAGCCTCACATTTGCTAGGCAGGTGCTCGATTGCTTGAACCATGTGACCAGCTCAATGGATTCCTATTAATTTAAAAATCTTTCATCCGATTCCAAAGTTACAAGTCTCTTTTTGTTTTACTGAATCATCTGACACAAAAGCTGGAAACAGACTCAGATTTCCAGTCTCTTAATTTCCAATCCATTTTGCTTTCCTAGCCTCTTTGGTATCTACATTGGTTTGAAGTAAAGATACCAGTGACATGGGAACTTTGTCTTCTATAGAAAAATTTGCTGATCCTTCTTAAAATAGACTGAATATGATGTTATAATAGACTTACATATGTTTCAGTAACTTACTGTTGTATGTTCTTGAATGGTTTTCAATTATTCAAAGAATAATACATGCAGGGGATTTGCCCCCTCAATTTTGTACCTGTGGATGATACTGTGGAATATCAAGTTCAAATCAACAGTTTATGGTATGAAACCTACTACAAGTTTTCCAAAGCCTCCTTCCTATTTGTGGGAGTCCTACAATACAGCCTTTGCCTATCATCATGTAACCTGATCCCTTTAATAATACTTGGCAGAGAGAAAACCTTTTAAGCAATGATCTCAGACTGCATAGTGAACATTTATTGCCTAATTCTCGGAACCCCACTCACAGCGAGGAAGCATCTATTAAGATGCAGATTTAAGAATCCATCTGGATCACAGGCCAGGATGATCTTCAGTTTCATGTGACTGAGACAGTCTAGAATACCTTCAGTTGCAGCTGCACTTTTTGAAACAAGGTAGATTCCTAGGTCTACTGTGTCTTAGTAGGAACAGACCCTCTAATAAAAGTTGTATTAAGCATATATGTAGAAGTATGGTTCTGTATTTATAATTCGGGGGTGTAAATACCCTTTGCTAGGACAAAGATTTGACTTGGGCATTTACTCAGACATACTGTAAAGAGAGAAGACTGACCAGTTTGATTTTTACAACATTGGTAAGCAGAAGAATGTCCATTTCGGGAGATAACTTGAGTAGAGAAGAAATCTGGCGGCTTCATGGAGGTGCTTTTCCTACTGGGTCTTGAAGGATGAATTAGAGGCGCGGAAGAGGATGTCTTTGCCAGTGTGTGAGGATGCCAGAGCCGGCGCCTATTTAGCAGCTGTTCTAAAGTCCTGACTGAAAAGGGCTTCCCGTACAGCTTTAGCCTGAGCTTGCAAGTTGAGTTTTGCTCCGCCTCTTCTGAGTCCCCTGAGGCTCTAGGTCTTGCCCTAACCGCCTGGACCGGCGGCTTGATGGCGAGACAGTGACTCCCCGGGGCGCTTGAAGGCTCAGGAGGTGGCAAGGCCGGCCCATCAACTGTCCATTAAGCCCAGGCTTGGCCGCTCCAAGGGCTGGAAGGGAAAATCTGGCCCCACCCACTGGGACATCCTGGTGTTTAGGGTGAGGGGGTGGGGTCGGCCTGCCAGCTTGGGCTCTGAGTCCTCTATGCTCCCTTGGTCACTGCGGAGGCCAGACCCGCCGGGCCGAGTTCCCCGCGCTCCTGAGGGCGGTCTCGGCTGATGGCGTCCTGGCCCCACTAAGAGCGGCCCGATCTGTGGTTTCCCTTCATTTTATAATCACTGTGGAAACCTGGCGATTAAGACGCGAAACCAACAAAGAGTTTTCTTTCCACCTTAACCTTGCACACAATCCTTTAACAAATTAATTAATCCTAATGAATTAACACTTCATTTATTTAAACGCGCTACAGTCCATGAATTAAATTTTCATGCAGTGATTAAAGGCTGTTAAAATATGCATGATTTCGTTAAAATTTTATAATAAATCAGGGCAATGTGTTACATGACAAGGCAACTATTTCCCAGTCCCTCGCAAGGGGCTTTGATTTGTGCGGGCGGCGGGGAGGAGGGGCGGCGGCGGCAGCGCTGGCGAGCGGTGGAGACCGGCAACAGGACCCAGCTCTGCGCTCTCGGCTTTGGCCACGCAGCCTTATCGCCTCCTCCGCGGCTTCCTGACCCTCGTGGGAACCCTGCTCCGGGAGGCAGGGCAGAGCCGGTGGAGGGCGACAGGCGCCCGCCTCTCCGTCCAGGGAACCACACTTCTGCGAGACAGGGCTGGGGGGGGCGGGGGGTGTCCTGCTCAGTCTCGTCTGCAGAACTCCTTGCAACCGGGGCGTCAGTGTTTCGGATCCGAGCGGCCTGCAGGACCAGCGAGGACGACAGAACGTCCACCGTGTCGTGGGGTCACGGGCCGGCGTGTTTGTGATAGAGTTTTGCTGGTTGGTGGACGATGTTTTAATCTGGGGTCCTGAAAGCCCCTTCTCTGACCAGCGCGCTTGGAAGGGGCCGGGCCAAGGCAGAGCCCTCTGAGGACCTAAAAAACAGGGGCCCGTGACCGTGTAACTGGTACAACATTGTTCATTCGGGCTACAAAAGTGCGTCTGGCAGCTGGCAGGTAGGGGAGGCCGAGCCCCTGTTAGGACAGAGACTAGTGATTGTCTTGCGTCACCGGTGGGGCTCTCGAGGTAGGTGGGTGTTAGGGCCACAGGGATGAGGGCGGGGAGATTACACAAATCTATATATTTATATGTCAAACGGCAGGAGTAGAATGACCGGCAGTGAACTTTGCATCATTAGGGGTCATCAGTGACATCTCGGAGTGAGGTGGTCCTCAATCAGGAAAATGTCCCCAACGGAAGTTACATTTGAATAAAACGGCCAGAAGAAAGAATACAATGGATTTGCCGCTGGTTTGCTTGAGAACTTCCTCTGCGGGTCCCAGCGAACCACAGACTGCGCGCAGAGTTGGGAAACAGAAGATCCAATGTCCCAAACAACTCAGCCATCCCGGACCCTGGGGACCAAGAGAGGCGAGCGGCCCCCGGTGTTAGGCAGTGAGTGGTAGAAAGCAAGGGAATCTCTCAGCCATGGTGAGCGGGATTGCGGCCCTGGATTCCAGCTCCCGTCTGCGCTGTGCCCAGCGGGCCACCAAGGGCCTCGCCACCGCGCGTGGTCAGGGTCCCCCGCGGGACGGGCAAGGAGCCCAGTAGCCATCACAGAAGTTGGGGTGGGGAGTATAGGGCGGGGATGGACCCAGAGAACCTTTAGAGAGACTGGAGATCAAAAACAGCTTAGGCCCGGTCCAGGGAAGACGACCCAGAAAGGAAGGGAAAGTGTGGCACTAATCTGTAGTTCCTGTCTCACACATCGGACTGTATCCAAGTAGGAGCGCGCTGGAACATATGTGCGGCTTCTAACACAACACTGGCGAACCCTACCCTAGGCCTGATCCTGCCGAACCTTGACACAGCGCTAAGTGGTCTAGAAAGCTAAAGGCATTCTGGGCCCTTGGGGTTTCCCCTGAACGCAGGATGCTAGCTGAGCGGTGAAAAGTGCCTCTTTTCAAACTGGGCAATGCCTTCGAAGATATGTGGTGCCTCGAGTCTGTGAGGAGTAGAGCTCCAACTTTGGCCTCCTGCAGGTGGGGCCAGAGCACGGGGCCCAACTCCCTTTCAGGTACAACCGCCAAGCGTCCAAATCCACATTTGTTAGGGCGGATCCCCAAACCAAGCAAACAATTTGGGTTGAACCCAGAGGTGACGAGGGTTAGTAGGTGCAGTGTCAAAAGCTAACTTTCCTGCGCCCAAATGGGCGCTCCTTCACTGGAAGGAGAAAGGCAACGCCCAAATGGGCATCCGAGTTCACGTGTGTCCTCCCTAGAGGTCGGGCAAGGATAGTTCACCAGGGATGGTGCGGGCTCTTGAACAGAGCCTCTCCCACCGGTCCTCGCTCCAACCAACAGGTCTGCTCTCTGAGCTCACGAAGGGGGCGCTGCCAAAGGAAATGTGAAGCGGAGCCTGCCAAAGGAGGAGGAGAAAATTAATTAATGAGGGAAAGAAATGTGTCTCTGATCCACTTGATAGACTTCCTATCCCTGGGGGCGGAAATTCCTTGGAAATCAATGGCTGTGCATTCATTGTCCTTCTCTTGATAAAATGTAAAGCTATGAGGGGACAGGGAAGCTCTGTGTTGATCATTAAACCAGAAGAAGGTGGGGAAAAAATTGCCCAGGAATCTACGCCAAGGCTCAGACCCCATGTGGGCACCATTAGCACGGACAGGGACCAACCTAGTTACAACAGTTGCCAAGCCAGGAAAGAAAGCTGTGACATATGGGAGAGCTGAGTCCAGGTCCAGCACCCTTCCCATTTACCCATCCTAAGGTTGGTAAGGGTGGTCTTGATATGGTCCCAGTAACTGCCTGCAGAATCAGCGGTGTGCCTCACTCTTTAGCCTGGGACTGAGGCCAAGCAGGAATGTGCAGGATAACTCACCAAGCATCATCTTGTTCTTTTGTGCAACTCTCTCATCACACCTGCCACACCTCTACCACTTTTCCTTTGCCTTCCTCATGCTCATCGACTCTCACCTCCTGAAGAGCAGGTGCAAGACTAGGGCTCAGCAAGCATATGAGGAAGGAACAGTAAAGTAACAAGGGAGGGGTGAAAAAGGACTGGCTGGAATATAGATTTATAGCTCTTCCTAAGGCAACCACACCCCTCTGCCCAAGCTCCACCTCCTTTTTAAGGAGACCCCCTTCAAGGATTTTCTTACATTCCCTAGTCAGCCCTGGTGTTTTTTGAATCTCCCTACCTTTTCCTCCTGGACCTCCTCAAGTGACCTCCCTCCCTTCCTAAGCACATGTATTGCTCCATAAAACTCTTTACAGGTACCATGATGAAAAACGTATGTGACCTACATAGACTTCAAATTCATGAGTGGAAAAGGAAGGACTGTACCCAGAGCCCTTACATGTCTAGTCCCAGTAAAGAGAGAGACATTATGAGCAGAGGTCTGGCCTCACCCACAAGAGGTAAGCTAGGAAGGGAGTCTTGGAAAAAATGGTAAACTCTAACTTAAGGGCAATGTCACTCCTTGCTGGATCTGCTGGAGTTTTCCAAGGGATATAGGTTCACCTAAGTTCTCTCTCTCTCTCTCTCTCTCTCTCTCTCTCTCTCTCTCTCTCTCTCTACCTGGTCAAAAACCCATGCTGTTTGGCTGTTAGCATCTTCAGTCCTGCACCCTTTAGGATATCTAAAGACAACGATTTCCTGGCGGCTGCAGGAGCTTGCCCATGGGGTGGGGTGTGGAGGGGAGACTCTTTCTTACACCCTGCTCACCCTGCTGGAAAGCATTGGGATCCACCGCGATGGGTGTCAGGAAGTATTAGATTAAGCCTGGACGCCCGGTGTGACAAGTACCACAGGACTCACTCTTTCCCTCCAGCGAAGTCCCCTCCCGGTCCATTCCCGTGGAGATAAAGTTGCATTTAGCGCTCCCAAGGGGCCGCATAATGGATGTAGACGCTGCTCCTTCTCGCACCAGCAAGTGAACATCCTTTTCGCTTCCCTCTTGGCTAGAAAAAAGGGAGGGAGTGGGAGGAGAGGAAACAAAAAAAAAAAAAAAAAAAAAAAAGAAAGAAAAGAAAAGAAAGAAAAAGCCATGGTGACGCCTGCGGGCTCTTGGAATCTGAATCGGTGAGTGGGTATGCTAAATACACACGCGTTTATGCAAAGAAAAAAATAAAATCCACGGGAACGCAAATTTTAGATTTATAGAAATGAGATCTGCCCTTTGATAGAAATGTAGACCTCCTTGGTGTAGGAACGACCAAAAAGATTATTTATTTGATATCTGCTTCCCATAAGCAGCCCCTGGCTTATCTCCAGCTCTCTTGCAGCAGATGTGATAACATCTGGGCAGTTATTATCACCCCAGGCAAGTACAGAGTCCCTAGGGACTTGGGCACCTGAACTGTGGCTCCCTAGGGGAGGCCCTTGATCTGCCGGCCATATAACAAGTTGGCTAATTGATTTATTCTTCTTATCAGGTCTTGGTTCCACAGTAATTTAAAAAAAATACTTGAAGGCTGGACCAGAGCTTGCGTCTGTTCTTTCGATCTGATTTGAATTCGTATTTTGAATCACCCTTTCTTATAAGTTTCATCCTGTCTCCTATTAGGAAAAAATATATATAAGTAAGCAGAGATGAGAGGCAAAGAGCGAAAACGATAGAAGAGGAAAGTTGTCTTTTCAGCATCATATTCCCTTTTCTCTGAAGTGGTTTTCTTTTCCTGGAGTTTCCAGTAAAAAAGTGTGTGTGTGTGTGTGTGTGTGTGTGTGTGTGTGTGTGAAAGCAGAGGAGAGGAAAGGATTCCGACTATACACTGTTAACTATTTTTTGCTTTTGATTACTAGAACCCTCAGATCACTGGGTGCTCGTTTGAAAGGTGGGTTTGTACATGGTTAAAGGAAACAAACAATAAGAGAGATGCACAATTTCATTTCAACAGCCTTTCCTGAGTAGAAAGCACATGCTCCTTGTGGCTCCTAAGTGGCTGTCACTGGTGGTGCCTGACACAGTTATATTCACAATAACAGCAACAAAGTATGCAGAGAAATTAAATTATATGGAAATCAATAGCGTCTGACTGCTTCAAACAAATGTCTGTCACCGCGATTATTCTCCAGGAACCTATTTATAAACCTTGAAAGAAACAGGTTCTTGCAGCAAAAGACAGTACCTTCAGCATTTCTGTGTTATTTTTCTGTGTATACAGAGGAATGCACGGCATAATTTAACATACAAATGCCCAGCTGTATACATTATATAACAGCTTGTTAGGCATCCCAGAGAGGAGGTGTGCCTAAGTAATGCGCATATATTCCGGGCTTGCTAGGGAGCGGGAAAAGCGCGCGCGCGGGCACACACACACGCACACACACACACACACACACACACACACAGAGGAGCGTGCGTGCCTCTTGTCTTTCTCCTTCCAAAAGGTGCCTACCCTTAGACAATAGCTGGCCTTTCTGATCTTTCCAGACCCCCGGTGGAAAGGTGAGGCGTACAGTGCGCATGCCCGGGTAGCCACAGGTGCATCACCTGCGTTGTCCTTGCTGGTGGTCACTATAAGAGCTGCTCCCACGCGCTGGTCGCGGCCCGACGAGCGCGCGCGCGCGCAGTCGCACGGCACCGCCGAAAGAGAGAGCGCGCGCCAGACAGACGGAGACAGCTGATGCCTGTCAGCGCGGCGGGGCCACGAGCTCTCGCGAGAGCTCTCCGGGCCAGCCGCGAGAAGTGGGGCTCAGGTGTAAGAGGAGTGCATCCCGTCGGCGCGCCGGGCTAGAGCTCCTGGAGAAGTGGGACCGGCGAGGCCGGCGCGCGGCGCTCTGCGCGGTCAAAGGGAGCGTCGGCGGCAGCAGGAGCAGTAGTAGCCCCCGCTGCGGCCACCGTTAGCCGCAGCGGCCGCCGCGGCCACAGGCTCGGACGAGAGGCCGGGGGAGCCGGCGTGCGCACTTTGCCGCGGACTTTCGGAGTGTTTGTGGATTTACATGCCAAGCCGTCAAGATGATGTCCATGAACAGCAAGCAGCCTCACTTTGCCATGCATCCTACCCTCCCTGAGCACAAGTACCCGTCGCTGCACTCCAGCTCGGAGGCCATCCGGCGGGCCTGCCTGCCCACGCCGCCGGTAAGCGCCCCACGCCCGCGGCCCCGGCCCGCGCGCCCGCCCCCCTCCCCCTTTACGAGACGCTGCATGTCGGGTGCTGGTTGTGCAGGTCCCGGTGCGGACATTTGCGGGCAGGGGTTTCTAGAGGAATCCGCTGTGAGGCACGTTTTGTCCAGCGGAGCTTGATGTCGTGTTCCCGTCTGCCTGTGCCTCTGTGTCGAGCACCTGCGATCGGAGTGGGGAGTTCTGACTCTAGACTTCCCTCCACTTTCTCTGCTAATTTCATGCTTGGAAAAGGTGGTCTCTGTGCGTGCTTGGGTGTGTGACACGGGTCCCCAGCTGCGAGTTACATCTCCATTTCTTCTTCTTTTCGCCCTCCTTTTTCGTCTTCCACGCCCGTTCCCGGAATGTGTTCCCACGTCCTCTTCTCCCCTTTTGCACCCCTCTCTATGCCCCTGTCCCTTCTCGTCTGCCCCCTGTTCGTCCCCAATGTGTCTCCCCCATTCCGTCTTTCCCTCTCTCCACTCTTCCCACCCCCGTTATTTTGGTTGCTTTGTGTTTGCTTTTTGCTTGTGCTTTCCGGCTTGTGTGTTTTTTGTTTTGTTTTTGCCTTTTTGGTTTTGTGGTTTTTTGGTTTGGTTTGTGTCGCCTGCAGCTGCAGAGCAACCTCTTCGCCAGCCTGGACGAGACGCTGCTGGCGCGGGCCGAGGCGCTGGCGGCCGTGGACATCGCGGTGTCCCAGGGCAAGAGCCACCCTTTCAAGCCGGACGCCACGTATCACACGATGAACAGCGTGCCATGCACGTCCACGTCCACGGTGCCGCTGGCTCACCACCACCACCATCACCACCACCACCAGGCGCTCGAGCCAGGAGATCTGCTGGACCACATCTCGTCGCCGTCGCTCGCGCTTATGGCCGGCGCCGGTGGTGCGGGCGCGGCGGGCGGTGGCGGCGGTGCCCACGACGGCCCCGGGGGCGGCGGCGGCCCAGGGGGCGGCGGTGGCCCGGCGGCGGCCCCGGGGGCGGAGGTGGCGGCGGCGGCGGTGGCCCGGGGGGCGGCGGCGGTGGCCCTGGCGGCGGGCTCCTAGGCGGCTCGGCGCACCCGCATCCGCACATGCATGGCCTTGGCCACCTGTCGCACCCGGCGGCGGCGGCGGCGGTGGCCCTGGCGGCGGGTCCTAGGCGGCTCGGCGCACCCGCATCCGCATGCATGGCCTTGGCCTGTCGCACCCGGCGGCGGCGGCCGCCATGAACATGCCGTCCGGGCTGCCGCACCCCGGGCTGGTGGCGGCGGCTGCACACCATGGCGCGGCGGCTGCAGCGGCGGCAGCGGCGGCCGGGCAGGTGGCGGCGGCATCAGCGGCGGCGGCGGTGGTGGGCGCGGCGGGCCTGGCTTCCATCTGCGACTCTGACACGGACCCGCGCGAGCTTGAGGCGTTCGCGGAGCGCTTCAAGCAGCGGCGCATCAAGCTGGGCGTGACACAGGCCGATGTGGGCTCGGCGCTAGCCAACCTCAAGATCCCGGGCGTGGGCTCGCTCAGCCAGAGCACCATCTGCAGGTTCGAGTCGCTCACGCTCTCGCACAACAATATGATCGCGCTCAAGCCCATCCTGCAGGCGTGGCTGGAGGAGGCCGAGGGCGCGCAGCGCGAGAAAATGAACAAGCCCGAGCTCTTCAACGGCGGCGAGAAGAAGCGCAAGCGGACTTCCATCGCCGCGCCGGAGAAGCGCTCCCTCGAGGCCTACTTTGCCGTACAACCCCGGCCCTCCTCCGAGAAGATTGCTGCCATCGCTGAGAAACTGGACCTCAAAAAGAACGTGGTGCGGGTGTGGTTTTGCAACCAGAGACAGAAGCAGAAGCGGATGAAATTCTCCGCCACTTACTGAGGGGGGTGGAGGTGCCGGGTGGGGCAGACAGGAGAGCTGAGGGGGGCATTTCTGGGGACTTTCCTTTGGCCTGCTCCCCCTCGCATTTGGAGTGTCCAGTTAGTTATCTTGCTTGCATTTGGGGAGTCCCTCCCCTGGCTCTTTCCTCGGCCCCACCCTGCTCTCCCTGCCCTTACTATCCCCCCTTCTAGAGAGGGAAGTTGGGCATGGAGAAAGAATTGGACGAAGTAGAGGGGAGAAAGGGGGGAATTAGGGTGAGCGGGGGAAGGACGGTGGAGACTAGAGCAGGGCTTTTGAGGAGCAGGATGGTTCCAGGGGGTAGGGTGGGGGAGATTCGGGGAAGGGTTGGGAAATGGATTGTTTTTGACCAGAGACGCTTACCCAAAATCTCCTGGGGACCAAGGAATTATGTACAAAAACAAACCAACCATCCAAAACTAGACAAATAAAGACTAAAAAACAAAACAAAAACAAACAAAACTGCTTTAAAATTTTAACTCTGGGGAGCAGTAATCTGCAGCTTCATTTACCCCCAAGAAAGAAAAAAGATCACTACCGTTATTACCACTGCCCCAGCCCTACACGCACACAAACTAAGTCAAAAACGAAAACCAAATGAACCCGAAGGTGAAGTTCTGGATAGGAAAACTAGTTGTTCTGTCTGCGTGTTTAATTTTTCCTTCTAAATCTCACCTCCACCCAACCCATATCCTCTTTGATTCATTTTCTTCATTTCAAAAAGACTCCAGTGGCTGCGCTCCGGAACTGGGAAGCGCTTGGAGGCACAGCTCAAAGTGGGTGGGGGTTGGAGGCCGACTGCCTGTTTAGAAGGAATCCAAGTTTTCCAGTGGCCCAGTGGCTACAGTCCTGTGGCCTGGACCCGGTCCAGTGAGGGTCGTTAGGAAGTGAGAGTTACAGTCTTTGAGCTGACTAAAAAGCAAGATTTGGAGTCTCTGAAATAAACATTTTTATTCTAAGAAAACAAAACAATTATTGTTAAAAAAAAACTTCTCTTTTTCATTTTGTTGTTATCTAAGATCTAGAAAACAGACTATTCCAACATAAACCTTTCCCTTTCCCTTATAGGACTTCACCTTAGCTTGCCCATTCTTTCATTTTTCAGTCTGTTTTATTTCAAACTTCCTACTGTTTTTCCCCCCCTATTCATTTAAATAGACTGGTAGTGTGGGAAATATTGGGACAGATACTTCGTTCTGTTTTCAGTTTTCTCCTTTGAAATAAGACTCATCTTGCTCTTATAGGTCCCCTTTCTTCCTCTTTTGGAGAACATGAAATTGTTGAAATGCTGACAAGTTTCTGCTTTCAGTTAGGTTTGGAGTTGGCTGTGGGAAAATTACCTAAATCCCGGAAGAGAGGAAGACAGATTTAAAGGCCTCCCCGCCACACACCCGTTTGTTTCAAAGAGGTCTGCATGTTCCTGGGAAAAGCAGAACAACTCTTTCCTTTTTGTTATTATTATCCAAGAGTCATTTATTAACTAGGGGAAAATATTGGATAGCAAAGACTTTAATTTGCACTTTCAGTTTTCCAAATAGAAAATCATGTATAGTATTTCATAGTAATAATCCAGGTACCTTACAAGCTGCTGATGAATTTTTAAAAATGAGAAAGACAGTTGAAGTTGGTTAGGTGAAATTGCCTGCTCTGTGTACAAGATACTCTTTGATCTCATGTGGAGGTGATTTGTTACCATCCCTTAACCATAACTTTAAAAATGAAACAGAACAAATAAGAAACAAAACAAAACAAAAACCCTGCTGTATAACAGGACAGAAACCATGCATGATCTGAAAAGTGCAGAAAGAAAGAAACACAATTAGATCTCACTCTGGTTAGACATTATTTATTTAATTATGTTGTATATCATTGTTTGCAGCGCAAACATTCTATGCATTTGAAACTGAGCACTAAACTGGGCTAGCTTTCTGGTAGACCGTTTTGTGAATAGTGTGATTTCACAGTCTACTGCCTGTTTCCACTGAAAACACAACATTCTTATCATATTCTTGTATGTAGAGGAAAAGGAAGAAAGGAAGATTATTGTAAATATTTTATTTCATGCACACATTCACACAGTGGTTACAAACTGCCAGTGTTAATCCTGAAATGTCTCACGGGTTGATCTACCTGTCCATGTATGTCTGCTAAGCTTTCTCCTTGGTTATGTCATTGCTCTATTACCTCCCCCTCCCCCACGTCTATCAGAATCATTTTTGTGCGCCAACATACAACAGGGGGATGTGTCCCAGTACACTTACAAATAAAACATAACTGAAAGAAGAGCAGTTTTATGATTTGGGTGCATTTTTGTGTTTATATTGAGCCAAGTCCTGGTAGAGCTGTTCAACAACTGAGACAATTCAACCAAAAAACCCAACCAAACAAGCAAAAACAAACAAAAAGGGGTGGGGGAGGATGTCAAAGGGGAGACCAAAAGAAGGGAAAGAGAAAATGTTTTGGTGTTTTTTTCTTTCTCCCCTCTCCCCTCCTCTCCATCCCACCCCTCCCCTCCCCTCCCCTCCCGATCCTCTCCTCTCTTCTCTCCTCCCCTCCTCTCCCCTCCCCTCTCCTCTCCTCTTTTTTGCTGAATCAGAATTCACTTTCAGATAACTCATGTGAATAAAATGAATTCTATATTAGTTGCCTGTGTTTATCAAAGATTCTTTTTAACTGCAGAAACTCCTAAGCCACAGCACTCCATTCAGAGTGGTGGAAGGCAATAAATAACCATGCACCTGAAAAGCATTAACCTTGGAGGTCAGGGACAGAGGTATTTGGGAGTTTGTATGTACTGTTCTACCCTAAAAACACTTCTAAAGGTGTTCCCACAGTAAATGACTTTTCTTTGGACATTAATAAATTTAAAAACCATCCAGTTATCTGTTCAGATACCTTGTCAAATGCTTCTGTTCATTTGGAATAATTAATATGCCACCTAACTGCTCCAGAGTGACCAGAGATCCTCTTATTTCTTGGTGACCTGGAACTAGATCAAATGCCAAATGTACAAAGTTTCTTAGTAGCTGGGATTATATCTTCTGAAGTCATCCTATTTTAGCTAAATCTTTTTTAATTTCACCGGCAAATCTGTGAAAGAAAACATTTGATGTTCAAAAAAGAATAGTACATTTTAAAAGCTGTGATTTTAAACAGTTGTTAATGTTTAAAAAAAGCACTAGAGGTATTTTTAAAAATAGATCTCTTCCATCAAAATTGATTTGTTTCTGTTGTTATTGACTTGAAATATCATCAGAGTTTCTAATAAAATGCATTTGTAAAAAAAACACGTTATTTTATAGAAAAGTATGACCAGATTTCATTGTTGGAGAACCAGGAATGAACAAATGAAAAGATTACAAAAGTCGTTTTTTAAAAAATTCTGCTCAAAAGAAAATGTTGCAGGCAAATACATTTGTATTATAATGGATAATGTATGTATTAAGAATTTAAGCATTTGTTTTGTATTAAGTAAAGTCCTTACCCAGTAAAAAAAGAAGACTATTATGTTAATAAAACATCATGAAAACACATGCTTTGCAAAGTTTCCTATGTTATGTAGTAGGAGACTGTGCAAAACAAAAAATGTTTTGCTTTCTGGTGAGTGAATCTGTATGTGGGCTGAAAGGAATATTAAAACTATTCTAAGATGCCTTTAACCGTCATCCCATGAAGAAATCTTAAAATGTCCTCTGAAGAGAATGCAAAGGCTTGCCATTCTATGGTAGTTTAGCCTGTCAAAGTTCTCTGGTTCTGAAGAGCGGCACTTGAAGCTACACAGATTTCTGCACCTATCAGTGTGTGGAAATAAAATGTGTGACTCGGGGTTCTTTTACTGAATAATCTCAGAACAAGTTTAAGAGAGTAGGAGACCTGGGCTGCATTTGTGTTTCAGCTTCTCAGGAAAAACAGGAGGCAAGGAAAGGCAAAAAGACAAATAAGCAGTAAAAGCACCTGCCACCTTAGTGCCATCCATTTGCCTTAGATTGTCTCTTTTCCCCAATCCTAGCTCGGGGTTCTGCTCCTTCTGTAGGTCTGAGAAATGATGTCCTGAAGATCCATAAACTAAATAAATTCTGGATAGATTTTTGTTTAATGCGTGTTCTGAAATTGCTCTCAACTTCGATTATACTCTCATAAATAAACCGTAGGCACCACTGCCATAACTATCGATTTTTACTTTCTTGTAATATTAAGATTACTTGGGTCCAGCAACTATGGATGGTCTCGCGGAGAGGACAGGGCTCTAAGCCTGAGAAGCCTCACTTGGTCAGCCCCCAGCCCTAGGCCCTCGCGACTCCTCCAGAGCATCTCTGGACCTTGCCTGCCTGAAAATCCCTACTTCACCTTTCAAGGTTGATGGCTTTCTTAGTTTTGTCCAAGAAGTTAAAGTTGGAGCGTCTGACTCTGGCTAAAACCAGGGTGCTCCACCTCATTCTAATGGCTTGATGCCCAGATGGATAATAAAGGTGATTTCACAATTATTATCGATGCTGCTTTGCCATCGGTGTTGCCACCACAGTCAGCCCGCAACGAGAGCTACACAATCCTTGCGGGCTGTTTCAGAGAAGACCGCAAGCTTAATTGATTTTTTTTTTAAGCAGCTGAAATCTAATTCTCACGGGGGTCTCTTTTCCACCTGCGAGATAAGCCTTGTCGCAATAATTACGTTATTTAATATTTGATCAAACCTTCGCGCCTCTGCGGCTTCAGGTACCGAACTGGCACACAGAGCAATCGGCTAGCGGAGCAGCCAGAGTCCAGCCCGGCACGTGCAGCGGAGACTCGCAGCCGCCCCATTAGGGTTGCCTTGCTCTTTGAATAATTCATGGCCTGAGAGTTCTGGAAATTAATAAAATGAATGATAACAAGAAGCTAATTAAAAACTTTCGTAATTGTTGTCAAGTCGGCTTGATGTGAGACAGTCAGCCCTCCGTGACTCCCTTCCCGAAAACTGGTGGATCTGTAGGGCGCGGGGCGGG